GCGCGCGCGCGGATCGCGGTAGTGGGCTGTGTTGCTTGCTTGTGGGCCGAGCCGCGAAGTTTTGGGCCGTGCGGTAGAATACGTTTTACAATTTCCAACCAAGTTATAAATGTTTATTAAATTTAGTTTTTGAGCTAAACTTTGATAAATTGTAGTAAATTATGTAGATGTCCAAAAATAGTGAAACCAAATTGGTTAGGTTCACAAAAATGTCATATATCTATTAGTGTAGTTAGTTTACAGTTAGCTATGTTAATAATAGGTTCATAAATTCAAACTAGAGAGCTTAATATTATGTAGATTAATATTTATAGGAATTTTTGTGGTAAATTGTGAATAGATATAGCTATGAGATTTTTACAGTAGGTTCATTAGATTATTATGTACTTGCTGTAAATTTTGTAGCTCGAGAGTAGGTTGATAAACAGAGTAGCTATTACCATTGTTTTATCATATATAGATTAAATCGGTATTAGGAGTAAGAATACCTTTAGTTGCTGTGATAATGTATGTCCATGCTTCAAACTTGTTAGTGGTAACGGTAGATAACTTAGTGCCTTAGCCGGTAGGACTAGCTTAGTAACTTGATAAGATATAGTTTATTTTAAGAGCTAGTGTTGCCATATTATTAAGTGTTGCATCGTCATTTCATGCATGTAGATCATGAGTTGGTAGAGTTCATGCCCCCCGTGGACGAACAGGATTACGAAGAGGTCATTGAGGAGTACGAGGAGGAGATCCTCGTGCAGGAGGGAGCCCCAGAGCCTTTTGGTGCTAACTTTGCTGACCCATCGCCTGCCCAAGGCAAGCCCCGGTGCATAACCTTATTTTATGATCACTGAATATATATATATATATATATATATATATATGATGTGCATTTAAATTACAGCCATTTTATGGAAACTACATGCATAAACATATCTACCTATGTCCTACTAGTATAGGTCAAGTAGCCGCTATGCTCAGGATATCGGTAGCATGAGTAACCTGCCGTTACTCATAATAGGTGATAATTATGATTACTCATGATAAAATGGTAGAATGGAAAATGGTGACCGGGCAGAGATATGGTTGGGAACTGGTGGGTGTAAGAGGTTGTGTTCTGCGGCCAATAGGGCATAGCTTGGTTACACTTTTTCCCTGTCTGTGTCGATTAAGGACCGGTCGTTGCATAAGTCTCGAGACAAGTCACAGATCTATTATCCTGAGCACATACTTGGGTATGGCGCAGGGAAGACTCGTTGCTCTCTTGTCGTGGATCTAGCCCTTTCCAGACCGACTGATTGGAGGCGGGGATGGTGGAGGTCCTTGCACCGCACTGAGTCTGGGACTCAGGAGTGGGGGCTTGGAGTCCAAGTTTGATGGGGACGTAGACACCTAGGACAGGAGGATGATGGGTTAGTTTCGCTTGTGCCTAGGGTACAAACGGGGCGTGTGTTTTTGGGGTACCCAGCTGGGGGCATTGATTAGCGAATCGTTGGGCAATCCGTTACGGCTTGTTTTTGGGTCTAGCACCGTAGTAAGAACTAAAAAATGGAAGATGATGAAATGGAACTGATTGCTCAACTCTTGCTTGAAAGTAGAACAGGTGCTTACATAGAATGGATAGATAATAAAATAATATTGCTATTAATAATATTATAAGTAAGGACTCACTAATAGCATTGCTTTCGGCCAAAAAGGAAACCAGCAAACCATAAAGCTTATCATATTCCTTAGAGTCAGGAAATTATTCCCACTAGTCGGATAAGTCTTGCGAGTGCATTGTGTACTCAGGATTTATTTACCTCTGTTGCAGGTAATGCATGAGAAGTACCATTGTGTGGAGGATTCTTCTGGTGGGCACAGACGGATCCTCGTTCCTTAACGCTAGATGTTTATTTTAAATTTTGCTGTTTATTATTCCGCACTCTGACATTTGGTAATGTAATAATGTAATTTTTAAGAACTTATGATGTATGAAATGGACAAGTATTGTAACTCGTTCTCATTATTGGATCCTTAAGAAAAATATGGATCTTTTGGGTTCTCCCTTGGGGTGTGTCCGACGGATACCGACCGCTGTAGCTTGCTTTCGGGGTGTTAGTGTCTGGTGGAAGACGAGCACCTCCATAAGCGTGTTATTTCGGGTGGTTCTACCATAGGACCCTGCAAACGAGGACGACGAGGATGACGATGATGACGACGATGACCCCTGGGCTTCCGCAGACAGCACCACCGGTGGGACGATTGGCCGCAGGACGAGATCGGCATGTCTCAGCTAGGTGGTGCCCCATTTGGTACCCAAGGAGCCTCACATGTAGTAACAAAGGTAGTTTATTTAAATACGTATGCTCCATAAACTAACGATCATAAAGATTATAAGTAATCGTGCATATCATATACTTGCAGGGTACGAGCTGTACGCACCGGCAATGCGACCACACCGATGTTGGCTACACTCCCAATGTGTTGCCAACAAATCCGAAGAGACAGAGGCGTTCGAGGGATCCTTACACTTTTGGGTCTTAGTTTGTTAGGTCGAACGAATATTGTCGTTCGAAACTTGCAGGCTTAGTTGATTATGTTATGTCGAACCAATGAAAATGTTATGTGACAGCTTGTCAACTTGCGCACGGACTTCATTTATTTGCTTCATATTCGTTTCAATGCGTCGCGGCAGCACTGCCGACGAGATTAACTAGCAACTAGTTCGGGAACCGGCAATCCCGGCGAATCTCACCGCCGGTGGTCGGCGTCTTGACCCCGATCCTCCCGAGCTTGGTCATCGCCACCACGAAATTGTCGAAGACGACACCCTGGTTGGACGCGTAGTAGTCGACCGTGCTGCGAGACCTCATGTCGGAGTAGAGCACATGGTAGAAGGCGTTGTGGAAGCCCATCGGCGAGGGGTCGAGGAAGGCGAAGGCGTTGGGGTCGGAGCTGCAGGTGCCGTTCAGCGCGACGCGAAACCGGGGTCCATGGTCGCGTCGCTGCCGATCCTCACCGATAGCAGCTCCCGTGGCTGGTCTTCTGTCTGCGTCCAGGTCCTGCCGCGCCATGCACCGTGGCGCGTCAGTGCCGCGCCAAGATCGGTGGCGCGGCAGACCCTGCCACGTCACCGGTCAGCGACCCGGTCGTCACCACGTCACCCCTCTCGCCGTGCCACCATGCATAACACGGCACAGGTGTTTTGCCACGCCATGGCAATAGACACGCGGCTAAAAGTGTTAGTTTTAGAAAAAAAAAATTAAAAATATTAAATTTAAAATTAGTTTAAAAAAATGTTAAAAAAAAAAAAATCGCACCGGCTGACTACTCCCAATCCCCATCCCCAGCGTACCTTGCTTGTAGCCCCTCGAGGAAGGACCGTCCCTGTGTAGTTGTACTTGGAGATCATCACGTACGGAGTACTGGTCATCAGCAACATCATCTCTGGTCTGGCCGCCAAGCATTCCAGGTTTGACAGCCGCAGCTTGGATTTTTTTACCGTGCATAATACTCCTTCCATTTTAAATTATAAAAAAAGTTTTGACTCAGATATTTTTTTACTACACATCTAGATATAGTACTTCCTCCGTACTGGTAATTCAAATCGTTTTGATAGCGACACGTTCTCTAAAGCATAACTTTGATTTATTATTTTTATAAAAATATTTATTGGAAAGTAATATATGTATTTTTTTTATCTCTAAAGCATAACTTTGATTTATTATTTTTATAAAAATATTTATTGGAAAGTGATATATGTATTTTTTTTATGAAAGTACGTTTCAAGACAAATCTATTCATATGGTTTTTATATTTTCAACCTCAATAACTTAAAAGCTATTCATGATTTATATTCCCAATATTTGATCTAAGTCTTGTCCAAAACGACTTAAATTATCAGTACAAAAGAAGTATATATCTAAGTGTGTAGCAAAAGTTATGCATATAGAAAAAACTAAACATCTTATAGTTTACGTAGAATGGAGGGAGTAGTTCCCAACTTTTGGTATACCAATCATGGATCCCATGGCTGCGGCAAACCTTTGCCAGCACCCATTCTGAAAACAGATGTTGTTTCTTAGCTTTCAAAGGCTCCATAGAGGCGTTTAGTTAAACATGTTAAGCACTCTATTCATTTTCTCACAGAGCAACAGTTTCGCTAAGGATTCAAAATCATATACATTCCGCATGCTTGTACATTCAGCCATGTCCGCGAGTCCACATTCTCTAGCTACAACTCACTCCAAGCAAGAACAAGTGTGCAATGCTTTCTCTATTTTCACAGTACAAGCAAGTTTCCATCATTCATTTCTGTACCTCGGTTGAGTTGTCCCTGGTCAGAATAGTTGTATGAATTAATGCCATAAGAATACTCTAGTCCAAATGTTAACAATGTACTAGCACTGAATAACCTATCAATACAAGACATACAGAAGGTTCAGAAAAAGCTAGGCGATGTTTCGATAGCAAGCAGACATAGAGAAGTTCAAAAAAAAAAGGGTCCTGGTATATTTAGTCCTCTTTAAACATGTGTATAACGTATCTGACAGAACCAAAGAAACCAAGCGCGCGTTTAGTTCCAAAAACTTTTCAAAAAAAAATGCTACAGTAGTCATCACATCGAATCTTGCGATACGTGCATGGAGCATTAAATGTAGATGAAAAAAAAAACTAATTACACAGTTTAGTTAGAAATCACGATACAAACGTTTTGAGCCTAATTAGTCCATGATTGAACACTAATTGCCAAATAAAAACAAAAATGCTACAGTAGCCAAATTCCAACTTTCCCCAACTAAACAAGGGCCAAAGCAAACTATCTATGGACAATATGGTATAATGACCACAAACCTCGGAATTCCCATAGACAGTACATACAGTCTTGTGATCAGCCATTCAAAACAACATCAACCCGATGCAGCTTCACACATTCTGAAGAATCAGTAGCTCAATTTAGCGCTGGAAGCTTGATCAATGGCAGCTGCAAGAACAGGTGTACAACACGACCATGGCACAATGGGTCTGTTTTAGCTTCCTGATTGCTGCTGCTTCTGGTCATCTGTTGGGCTTGAGGGGTTGAACGGGAGCTGCTCAGCACAATCACGGTTGTCGCCAGAGTGCTCACGGCCAACACCCATGAGGTCAAGGTAATACTGGTAGTGAGAGATTATAGTGTTCATGGCGTCGATAAATCCCTTGCCACAGATTGATTCGCCGTAGAGTATGTTCATGGTGGCACCGAACCCAGGCAGGCGTTTGCTGAGCGTATCGTTCTTTGTGGGCTTCCAGGTGCCCACAAACGCTTCGTGCGCTGACGGCTGGTTCTTCTTGATTGGCGTCATCCACCGCCACATTGCCGCCATGAATGCCAGCGTCGCGTTCTGCTCGAGGTACTCTGGGTGGTGGAGCAGGTCCACCTTGATCCCGTCACCTGCGGCGCCATAGTTATAGTTCCTGAAATAAGTAACCAACCACATCAATACGACTGGAAATCAATACGACTGGTCAAATTCAGAGATACCCTCAATTTCAAGCTAATTTTTTTACCGTTTGCTGCTTAAATGTAGATAAAAAAAATAACCCCAACGTCAAACTGATTCAGCCATTGCAAATAAGATGAAAGTGCTACTGTTCATCAGGTTGAAAATTTTTTCAATCTAAACGAGGCCTCAGCCGTTGCAAAAGAAGTTGAAATGGTGGTGGACTGGAATGGTGAAAGCGAGTTCTAGCATTGGCAGGGGGGCAGCATTACCAGTAGACAGGTATCGCGCCGCGGCCGTAGTACTCGGCGCCCTCAACGCAGGGCCACTGGGTGTAGGTCTTGTCACAGTAGGTCTGGTCGGGGCTCATCTCGTGGTTGTAGCATAGCCCCCACGCCGTCGGCCCGCCGGTAGCCACGCCGTACCCACCTGCAATTCCGTAGCCGCCAGTCAATCAATCGGTTCCTCCTCCAGCCCAACAGAATCGAAGCAGACGAACAAGCATCGGAAGCAAGGATCTTACATGAGGTCTTGGCGCCGACGTGTCCAAGAAACGCGCAGAGCTCCATCATCTGCATCTGCTTGCCGCCGGTGGTGCAGAACCCCTGGGGCTCGAAGAGTGCCGCGGCGATGATGAAGGCCTGGTAATCCCAGAACCCGACGGCGTGCGCGACGGGGGTGTTGCGCTTGGCGAAGAGGTTCTCGAACTGGTACACCTTGAAGAAGTCGGTGATGGTGTCGTTGCAGCAGTACTTGCTCCCGGAGCACTCCCACCCCTTGTTGCAGATCTTCTCCTGCGACTTCTTTATCTGGGCCTTCCACGTCCCCGCCGTGAGCACCAGCGCAATCGTGCCGCCCACCAGAATCGCCGCCGCGGCCAGGGCCAGCGTCCACACGATGATCTTGTTCCGCGTCTTCCGCTTCATCTTCTCTCTCGCCGAGCCCCTCCCCCCGCTGCTCGCCCCGCCGGAAGCTTGCTAGGGAGAGCTTAGCTGGATCTCGAACCGGGGCTGCTGGGGCTCGAATCTGGATCTGAGGAATGCGGGTGCAAATGTGGACGGAGAGAGCGGTAGCTGGAGATCTCGCTGCGGTTGTTGAAGGGGAGGAGATTAATCGAGGGAGAGGAGTGTGAGGTATAGGGAAGGGGAAAGCGAAGTGGCAACTACACATGTGCCGACGGACGGGAAGAGTGGTGGGTGTCGGTGGCGGGAGGCCGTCAAGGGGGAAGAGGCGCCCGGGCAGGCAGCAACTCAGGATGGATTTTCCGCGTACGCTCTAGAGCATGTGCCACTGTTTTTTCCGTTTTACTACTAGTAGCTAAAATGTTTTTTTCCTTTCCAGGGGAGTTCCTGATTTTCCGCATCTTACCATTTGAATCCTGCACCAAAAGGAGGGCAGGCAGCGTGGCCACGTCGTCCGCTTTTTTCAGCCATCCAATCGCCTGCGTGGACGGGCCAAATCGTACAAGGGTCCTAGTCTTTTTTCAAAAAAAAAAACCTCGAACTTTAATCGATTAACCCGTAGTCTAGGCCTCTTCTCATTTTTTTTCAAAAAAGTCCTCAAACTTTATTGAAATCAACCCTCAATCTAGACCTTTTAAATGGGCCTGCCTGCCTCCTATTACAGGAGCTTCCTAATCCATCCAAACCCCAAGTCTGTGTATACCACTTCTCTCCCCTCAGTCGTCTCCCTCTGTCTCGAACCCTTCCTCCCTCCGCCACTCTGAGCCTCAAGCCAACGCCCTTGGCGCCTTGACCCTCTGAGCACGTCGCACCTGTCTTGCTTCGCCTCCCACGTCCACGGCCCCCAATGCTTGCGGAGTTTGGCCACATGGGCGGGGGTGGTGACCGCACGCCCACCGAACGCGCCTCCGCGGGCGGGGATCTGCCAGCCAGCAAGGGGAAGGCCTCACGAGTGACCACGTCCCCAGGCTGCGCGACTGACACCGGCGCTCCGATCTAGCCTCCACTTCCCCTCTCTTGCGCTTCGAGTATATCTATCGTTCACTCAATTGAAGTTTTACATTTATATATTTTATTATCTATGTCTGTCCAACTTCCAAATTCCTTTCTAACTTCTAACTATTTGAACTCGACCCGTCTTCAAATTTACCATGTGGCCGAAGGCAGCAGGAATGCAGGATGACATATCAGCATGTTCGTTTGGCTGTGGTTTGTCGTAAATGATCGTAAATTTTTAGCCGGAACAATATTTTTCTTTCATACAAACCAGTCAGCAGTACTTCTTCATGAACCAGCAACGATACGGACCAGCCAATCAAACAGGCTGTATATACTCCTGTCAACGTCCTAGCGCAAATAAATAACACTGAATAATTCGATTCTCGCATTTAGAAGAAAAAAGATATATTACACCTCCACGAGCACGAGACTTTAGAAATTCCCGTGTCAGTTTATGAAAGCGACAGGCTCAGAGCTCAAAGACAGATCGTCTGTCACTCGAATAATCAAGCTGGGGTTTAGACAAGGCTTTAGGGTGTCACATTACATATTATATGAGATATCGTATAGAGTGTTCGGATACTAATAAAAAAATAAATTATAAATTATCAGTAAACCGCAAGACGAATTTATTAAGCCTAATTAATCTGTTACTAGCACATGTGTACTGTAGCATTTTATTGTCAAATCGTGGACTAATTAGGTTTAAAAGATTCGTCTCACAAAATAGTCGCAATCTGTGCAATTAGTTATTTTTTAATCTATGTTTAATACTCTATGTATATGTCAAATATTCGATATGATAGGATGTAAAGTTTTGACGGAGAAACTAAGGACATGTTTAGATTGTAAAAAATTTCAACCCGATGAATAGTAGCACTTAGTTATTTTAAATATTGTTCAATCGTATAAGCTTTCATCTCGTGATTTCATAAACTGTTAAATTTATATTTAATGCTCCATACAAATAGCTAAAAATATGTGATGATAGGATGTAAAAAACTTTTTTGACGGAGAAACTAAACTTGGGCCAAATCAGATTAGCTGGGTGATGCCGTGACCGTGATCGTAACCAGCTGGCTAGCTTGCCCAGTTGGCAGTTGCCCCGTGTTTGCCTGCGAGGACCTGGGCAGTGACGTACGCATCAGCATACACGTAAGAGCAGAGCAGGCACATCCAGGCCACAACCATGTGGAAATCACAGGTGACAGAAATCTTCTTGCCATTTGCCAACGGGTCTATTTGAAAACGCAAGATTTTGGCAAAAGTCATACAATTTATTTTTCAAAAAGTTGTTCTATTTTTTTAAAAAACAACATCATTTTTTTTCACGTTGCAAACAGACCCGGAATCTCCGAACCTATCGATGGGTGATTCAGCGCACGGAATCAAGATCATAGACAGACGGTTATAACGAGAAAAATAATAAATAAAAGGGTTGCACAAAACACGCTGGAATGGCTGTGCCTTAACGATGAAGTGTCGTCGTCGTCGACCATACCATCCGGCGTCCGCCCATTTCAGCAGCCCTCCAGAATGTTCGTCCCTGTTCCTAGTCTCTACAGTAGGTAGGTGTGCTAGCAGTGGCGGCAGAGAGGATAAGTTAACAGTGCCTCAAACACGCTGCCCGCGTTGCCCGTGCGCGTTTTGCGCCGCCCGTCGTCGTCGTCGGATGTGGTAAGGGCTGGTTTAGTTGGTAAAATATTTTGGAAATGGTAATGTAGTATTTTTGTTGTAATTTAGTAATTAGTATTTAATTATAATTTAATTAGGCTTAAAAGATTCGTCTCGTGAATTTTGTCTAAACTGTGTAATTAGTTTTATTTTTTATTTATATTTAATACTTTATACACGCGTTCAAAGATTCGATGTAACAAAAAATCTTAAAAAACTTTACAAAATTTTGAGAACTCAGGCACTAAAGGTAACCGGCGGGCGGGCGCCTTTTGCAGCTGTAGGGGCGTCGGATTAGTGGCTTTACACGCACGTACCTCAGGGCTTTACCTGCGACTTCAGGGCGCCTCCACCGCCCATTCCGATCCGGGCCCCCTTTTTCTCTCTTCCTTTTGAAGAATCCAGTCATCCACTCAGGTCCGTTTCCAATTCCATGCGTGCGTCTGCGTGTGCTGCAGCAATTGCAAAGCCAAACGGAGCGATCGACCTCCTGACGCGTGCCGGGAACAACGGCCTCTCATGCGTTTCGCAGGGTAATGGTTCATGTGGAATCAGCATAGAGTTTAGGGGAACTCTATAGGCGTTTTTTTTTTGCATGAAGTTTGCTTTCTTATATGAAACCAGAAAACTAGTTCTAGTTCAGGCGCATCCCTACGTAGTAGGAGTTGAAAGCAAAAATTCAGGAAGAACTTTAAATACGCGCGGGCCTTGTCCGGCCCAAGTGGTCACCACATGGTGGGCCCCCAGACCTGAAACCCGCTCTATCCGCTACCCGGCCTTCTTCCTCTTAGACCCGCACTCACCCGCTTGACTACGTGGACCGGGTTCAGCGCCGGCCATGTGGTCCACGTCACCTCACCAGCGCGATAATCACTCGCGAAACCGCGGGATTAGCGAGTGGGGTTTTTAGTTTTACGGAGAGGGGAGGGGAACCCGATTTTGACTAGCGAGAAGCAGAGAAGAATTCCACGTCAATGTGACTCATCCCCGCATTATAATACGGTGGAGGGGAGAGGAGCGGGGGAAAAAAGCACGCGCATTATTCGAGGCGCTTTATGGTCGGATCACCCCAGCAACAGCAAGCAGCAAGCAGCAAGCCGCCACCCGCCAGAGCATTGCAGCGAGCGCCAGCCACCTCGCAGCGCACCCTCTCGCTGTCCCGCACCACCCGCGCGGAGGGAATCGGTGGGCGGCGGCGAGCGGGCGAGCGGCGGCCGGAGATCCCGGCTCGGGGGCTCCGATCGAGCGGAGGGCGGCGGGACCTGCGGGAGCAGAGAGCGCGCAGGGAGGAGAGGAGTGGAGTGGTTCGATGGTAAGGGACACGGGATACTACGACGTGTTGGAAGTGAGCCCGACGGCCACCGAGGCCGAGATCAAGAAGGCATACTACGTCAAGGTGCTGCCTGCGCGCCCTTCCCCCCTTGAACTTTTGCCGTGCGTTCAGAGATGGTTACGCCTCTCATTTCGGTGGTTGCTGCTCGTGTTGCAGGCGAGGCAGGTCCATCCGGACAAGAACCCCAATGATCCGGTCGCGGCGGCGAGGTTCCATGTAAGTATTCTAATGCTCCACTGACTCGTTCAGCTCTCAGCCGCAGCAGCGTGATCCTAATAGTACTAACTACCATGATGCTGCCGCGACTGTACTCCAGTCGGGTACTAGAACTATGTCAATTACTAGCATTTTTTGCATTACTCTATTTTAGGTGCGCATTTCAGGATCTGCTGAACCTTTAAGTGGATAAATGCACCGTGGTATCCTTGTACCATAAACCCAACAGTATTTCATTGTTCATGGTAGAAAACAGTACTATATTGAACTGGCGATCCTGCCACTTGTCACATGTAGCGTGGCTTCCTTCCCTGTGCATTCTGCTGCCTTTTTTTTTTTTTTGAGATATATATTTGATTTCAATGCAAATTGGACTCTATAAAAAGAAAATCACATCTTCATCTGAGTTACTGCTACTGCAGGAATTGGGGGAGGCATACCAAGTGCTCAGTGACCCCGCACAGCGTGAAGCCTATGACTCATATGGGAAATCTGGTATTTCAATGTATGTTTAAGTACAGATACATCCCATTATGTTGTTGAAACCATATATTAAAAAAACTTTAGTGCTCTAATAGAATTTAATTTTCTTGTTAGTTGACTTCTGTAGCTGGTATTTAATCTCATATGCTGTCAAATCTTGTCCGATGATTACATTCTAATTTGCTGTCTAACACTATCCTATAGGGAGCCTGCAGCAATTTTTGCAATGCTGTTCGGTAGCGAGCTTTTTGAGGAGTAC